AAAATTATTTTTAGGTGCTGATGATATACCTCCACCAATGGCTTAGCTGGGGAGGATTATGGAGCTGAAGGCTCAGTTTTGTTTATCTTGTATTTAACTTTTGTACAAGTTTAGAGCTTTATTTGTATTGAGCTTATGGCTCATTTTGATGTACCCAAGCCTTGGCTTGGAAATATGTAAGCCTTTAGGACATATGAACATTTGTTTAGCTTTCATTTCTTATCACCTTGTATTGGTTGTTTGGAGTTGGATTATTGTAATTATTTGGGGGCGTTACAGTAATAGTGTGCGACACCTGACTTTGCACCATGGATTTCATCATGGTCTGCAACTCGACCACTTTGTTGGCTAGATTCTTTACCTCTTCGTCTTGACGGGTGCATCAGTCTTTCCAAACTTGTACATCGCTCTCGTTCTAGTTTTCTTCTTGGGGCCGCTCCTGCCTCTTTTTGTTGTCTCTCTTTGGGCCATAATCCGTTCTAGGATTTCAATCGTTGGTGGCATTATTCGCTATAATCACAAGTGCCTTGCTTTTATAATTGTGGAGGCATGCACTATTACAAAAACAGTTAAACATCACACATTGACAAATGAAAATATCTCACTTTTATTGGAGGTGTGATAAAAAAAAATTCGATTGATAATCACTCTTGATTTGATTGAGTGTGATAATATTTATTTTTTATGTCATTTTTCAATTAAGTGTGATTATATATATATTTTAATCACACCTTCTAATTAACATGTGATTATATTTATTTTTTATGTCACTTTTCAATTAAGGGTCATTATATATATATATATATATTTTAATCACACATTCTAATTAACGTGTGATTATATATATATATATATATATATTTTTTAAAAAAATTTTCCTTTTATATAAATTAGAGTAAATTACAAATACACCTTCTGAGGTTTGCTTAAAATACGAATTGCTTCTGTAGTTTGGAAAATTACAAATATCTCACTGTTAGAATTTTTTATTTAACAAAATTAATTGAAAAAAAATGAAATTTCTAATTGTTCACCTATACAATATTTAAATTATTTGAATTATTAATTAAAATAAAATTTTAACATTATTAAAAACTGTTAATTAACAAGATGATTAATTAATAAAAGGACCTATTTATTATAAAATTAGAAACCTTAGGGGACATAATATAATTTCTAGAGCGGATAATTTGTAATTTAAGTAAACCTCAGGGGATGTGTTTGTAATTTATCCTATAAATTACTGATGGGTAAATTACACTTTGCACTTCTGCACTTTACACAAAATCTCACTTTAGTTTCTATACATTAAATTGTGACACTTAACCCTCTGCCCTTTTGGTCAAGTGTCACATTGGCCCTTCTGTTAATAATGAGGCTAACAGAAGTTATCCTTTAGGGAGCTAAGTGTCACAATTTTGATGTGTAGGGACTAAAGTGAGATTTTCTGTAAAGTGCAGGGGTGCAAAGTGTAATTTATCCTCTCATGTTTTTCATGTGACTAACCTCTATTAATAATGATGCTAACAGAAGGGCCAAAGTGACACTTGACCAAAAGTGCAGGTGGTTAAGTGTCACAATTTGATGTGTAATGGCCAAAGTGGGATTTGATGTAAAGTGCAGGGGTGCAAAGTGTAATTTACCCATTACAAATACATCCCTTGAGGTTTGCTTAAAATACAAATTGCCCTCTGTAATTTGAAAAATTACAAATACCTCACGGTCAGAATTTTTTATTTAACAAAATTAATTGAAAAAATGAAATTTCTAACTGTTCACTTGTACAATAATAAAATTATCTGAATTATTAATTGAAATAAAATTTTAACATTATTAAAAACTGTTAATTAACTTGATAATTTATTAATAAAATGACCTATTTATTATAAAATTAAAAATCTTAGACGACTTAATATAATTTTTAAAACAATATAGAGTGATTTATAATTTAAGTAAACCTTAATGGCTATGTTTGTCATACTCTAGAATTAATATCCTAATATTCTCACATCCTTATTTATACTATATATTAAGCAAAAGGGGGTTTTTAACCCCAAGGCTCGTGAGAATTTCAATATCTCAATCTGAATTTTTTAAATTTTTTATTAAAAAATAAAAAAACTCAGCATTTATTGATTTTGTCAAAATCTTCTGATCAACATTTATTAACTTTTTTTCAATCCACATGTCTTTCCACATGCCTGCATTTATTGATTTGGTCAAAATTCCCTGATCAGCATTTAAAATCCCCCCATACAAATAATTATAGATACAATCTGTGTATAATTACTGCAGTACCATTTTCAATGTCTCCCATACACTATAATTAGTGATAAGATTGTTAAATTATTTTTATAAAAAATCATAAAAAACATAATTTATATATTAAAAAAAATCTAAAATAAATATAAAATATTAAGCAAAAAACATAATCTATACTTGTGTGGGTAAAAATCTGACCACACCGCTTGCTTAGTGATCAACTGGAGAGCACAGGCAGAATAGATGGCTTTAGCAACTTGAAACAAAAAGAAAAGGCTCCGGCGGTGGTTCTTCCACCCGGGGACACTCCGATGATCAAGTCAGTATATTTCTCAAAGATAATCAAGTGCAAAACTTAACACTTAAAACATAAATTGAATACCTTAGACCCACGGGGGTGCCTCTCTTTTATAATATACTCAATCCAAGTCCTACTAGAAGTATGACTTCTATGAACTCCAATTTACTGCTTACTCTGGACTCTTTAAGAGATAAAGATAAACTCCCTTAAGAATTTTATCTAGGTTAAGTCCCCTCTTTGTCCTAGGACTCTTGTCCCTTATCTGTTTATCTCGGATTCCGATATCTTCGGGGATAACCTCGGCAACTCCGAGATCATCTCGGCTTAACTACCACGACACATGGCACCTCGGCTGACACGTCAGCGTCACCATGCCACGTGTTGGTATTCAGAAAATATATCCCCACAACTGCCCTCTAGGTTCTATTACCTCGGCATTCTGAGGTGATGGAACCTATACCGACATTTCAACATTTCTTTTCTGAGTAATGGCTCAAAAACTGTTTGGCCGAGATAATCCTCTTTCAGCCGACGTGTTTTCTTCGGAGAACAAGGTTTCGAACGTACTTTCCCACGTGCATGAGCTGTCATGCATATCTAACCGTTCATTTTCACGTGTTTTGTTTTCATTGGAGCGTGTTTGTGACGCGCCTGAAAGCTGTCTGTCATTTGTCTGCGCCGTCTGACGCCTGCGTTGCTCCAGGCGTAATAATTGCCCTAATTTTGCCGCCGTTTCAAATTTTTGACAAAACTCTTTTTTGCCTCTATTTTTCCTTCACTTTTTCATTCGGATTTCTTGGTCTTTTTCTCTCCGAAAGCTCTTTCTTCTTCGAATCTGCCATTGCTTCGATCTCTCTTCTGGAACTGTCCTTAATCTCCCATTCTTGTGAAGCTTTCTTTGCTGTTGCAACCGATTTCTGAGCTCGGCGAACATTGCCCCGGCTTCATTTGTTCTGGTAAGATCCTTTCCTTACATCAAGGGTTAAGTTCTTTATTCTTTTTCTTCTTTTCTCTCTCTCTCTCTCTCTCTCTACAGTCAATCTCCTCTCTTCTAACTTGATCATCAGAGGGTCTACTAGGGGACTCCCATTCCCTGTTGGACATTTTTGTAGGCACACCAGCAAGCTCAGAGACCTGTGAAAGGTGTAGGAAGCGTGGAAAAAAATTTCTTGAAAAGTCTAACACATATAATTATTATCAAAATATTAAACTTTAACACATATGATTATTATCCCTCGTAATAACACTTTAATGCATTAAGAACAAGTATAAAAAAAATTTCTTGAAAAGTCCAACACATATAATTATTATCAAAATATTAAACTTTAATATAATATAAAAAAGGAAAAAAATAGAAGACATTTAAAAAAAAAATATTTAAAAATCACAATTCACATATATAGATAATTATAAACACAATCTGTGCATAGCACTGGTGATATGTTAGTTTATATATAAGTAAAAGAGGGTTTTTAACCCCAAGGCTTGTGGGAGCTTCAATATCTCAATCTGAATTTTTTAAATTTTTTATTAAAATATAAAAAAACTCAGCATTTATTGATTTTGTCAAAATCTCCTAATCAACATTTATTAACTTTTTTCAATCCACATGTTTTTCCACATACCTGCATTTATTGATTTGGTCAAAATCCCCTGATCAGCATTTTAAATCCCCTATACAAATAATTATAGATACAATCCGTGTATAATTACTGCAGTACCCTTTTAACTTCTCCCATATACTATAATTAGTGATAAGATTGTTAAATTATTTTCATAAAAAATCATAAAAAACATAATTTATATATTAAAAAAAATCTAAAATAAATATATATATCTACAACTATCTCGTACATAGTACGAACAATGGGTTAGTTCGTAGAAACAGGAAAGCATTATTCAAACAAAAATTGTTCACATTCGAACCAATTCTCCCCGAGCACTGCTGGGGACCCCAGTGCCCCCCCATTCCACGTGGGCTGTGTGAGCGAGGTCAAAAAGAAAAAAAAAAAAAAAAAAGTTTTCAGCCAATCAAAATTTGGTGGGGCACCCCAGGGTCCAAAGGATTTTCCAATCACCCCACGATCGACTGAGGGGTTGTTTTGAGTCGGTAAAAAGTTGATTTTTAATTTTTTATTAAGTTTTTTAATTTTTTAGAAAGTGATTTGAGAGGTTGATAAAAAATTGATTTTTTATTTTTTTAATTTAATATTTATTTATAATGTCAAATTAAATTGAAATGATCAAAATATTCTTATTCAACATAAGAAATTTATTTATTTATTTTTTTTATTGACTTTAATTTATAATTTTATACTTGCGTTTTTGTCATTTTTCAAATCACATTTATTACGTTTTTGGGACTTGTATTTTTAAATATTTTGTTCTAAAATGTGACTTTTTATTTTGTTCTGATAACGGCACCGATAGAAGCTAGCACGCACGTACGATTCTTTCCATTCCCACGTGATTGAATTTCCCAGATCTCTTCCTTTGCAATTGATCGTTTGCCTTCTCTTTTTTTCTTTTATTTTTTTGTAAACAAAGCCCTCGTTTTCTTAGTCACAGTGCAGAACCACCATTGATGTTACCCAATCAAACCACCATGGAAGTGTCTTTTGAAATCAATAACCTCTTCAAGCTTCTAGTGAGTTTTTTTTTTTTTTGAACTGAGTGGAATTTCTATCTATACACTTATCATCATCATAATCATCAGCTCATAATATAAGAGGGAGTTAGGGTTTCTACAGTAACATGGCTCTCTTTTTTGGTTGCCCCTTCTGCCCTTGCTTTTGTCAAGTTTGCATGGACGTTGTTGTTTATGTCACTTTGGACTATTTGAGTAAATTCCACTCGATTTTATCATCTCTCAGTCTCTCTCCTGTCTCTTTTTCTCTCTGGACAATGACGGTGAGAAACCCTACGGGAGATGGGCTACGCGATGTGAGTTGAGGGGCTTTGAAGATGAATCAATAGGGACTGACTACTAAAGACAATCAAAACGGCGGGAAATGCGAGCTAGGCAATGGGAAAGTCGACAATGAGACCAAACTGCACATATTTCTTCTCTGTCTATCGCTATTTCCAAGGATCGATTTCATTGATAAAATGGTAAGTATAGTGATTTCACTTTTGCATTGATCGATTTCAAAGAGTTAGTATAGTGATTTTGACTTTTTGTCCCACTGATTTTTGTAGCTTCTTGCAATTGGATCCACTGATAAATCGGTAATTTATTCTTTCTTATTTTTAATTCTCTTTTTTTATTTTTTTTTTAATTTGTTTTTGTTTAACTCCATAATCCATAATCAGAAATTATGCACACTACTTTCTCCATTGGCTACGCTTAATTGTTGCCGGTGAAATTTGGGATTGGTCAAGCAACCAACCATTACATGTTGCATCTAATAATCTAATAGCTGTATTTGATTTCTATGAGATTATCCTTTTATTTTTTCTCTCAAATCTTATTGTTCAAGCTAACTCCAAAATTAAGATTTTGTGGAGATAATTGGGGATTTTTTTGATAATATAGGTTGAGTTTGTGTTGCCATTTTTATTTTTTATTTGGGTAAATTACACTTTGCACCCCTACACTTTACACAAAATCTCATTTTAGTCCTACACATCAAATTGTGACATTTAACCCTTGCACTTTTGGTCAAGTGTCACATTGCCCCTTCTGTTAATAGTGAGGTTAACAGAAGTTATCTTTTAGGGAGCTAAGTGTCACAATTTTGATGTGTAGGGACTAAAGTGAGATTTTTTGTAAAGTGCAAGGGTGCAAAGTGTAATTTATCCTCATATGTTTTTCATGTGATTAACCTCTATTAACAATGAGGCTAACAGAAGGGCCAAAGTGACACCTGACCAAAAGTACAGGGGGTTAAGTGTCACAATTTGATGTGTAAGGGCCAAAGTGAGATTTGATGTAAAGTGCAAGGGTGCAAAGTGTAATTTATCCTTTTTATTTTTTAAATGTCTAATTTTTGGATTGATCGAGTTGGGTTTTGATATGGAGTTTTTTTTTGTTTTATTTATTTATTTATTTGTTCGATTTTTAATTGGTCAGGTTTTTGTTTGCTTTGTTGTGGGACCAAAAAAAACAAAAAAAAATGGAACTCATCTATCTTATCGGCTCAATTTAAATTTTCTGCATTAGCTTTGTTGGGTTGTAATATATATTTTTTTGGTAATATGTAATTAAAACTGTGATACTTTGGTACTAACTAGATGTTTGAGATTTCTATTTGAGAGTCCTGAATTTCTGTTAGTACATTTTTAGAAAATAAAGAAAAGACTATTTAGTCTGTTTGGTTTCAGTTTTTTGAAAACTAAGTTTTTTGTTTTTCATTTTTTTTTGTTTTTAGTGAATATTTTTAAAATTTTAAGCAATTTTTTTACTTTTTTAGATGCACCTTACTTAGATGTATCTAAAAAGTAAAATATTTGTGAAAAAATATTTTAAAAAATTAATAAATACACAAAAATATAAAAAATATACTTAATTTTCATATATATATATATATATTTTATATTTTTGGTATTTAGTGAATTTTTTAAAGATCTTTTTTACGAAAATTATACTTTTTAAGTGTATTTATGTTAAGTGTCTAAAAATTAAAAAAATTGCTTAAAATATTAAAAAAATTTAGTAAAAACAAAAAAATACAAAAAACAAGAAAGTAGAATTTTTTGAAAAGTGTTTTCAAAAAACTAGAAACAAACATAGTGATTAGTCTTCAATCAATCATTTGTTTTCTTATTGAATAAAATTACTTCTATAGATGTTCTCTTTAGTTGTTTTTATTTTTCATACATAGTTAGAATAGAATGAATAGTGATGATTGCATTAACTTATAGTTGATTTTTGTTTTCCTATTTTCAAAATTTTAATTAATTTGGTTCTCTGTTTTAGGTTTAGAAAAGTTAAGAGTTTTGGTGGTAATGTGGTGGTCAGAGTGATTAAATAAGAACAATGAACTCTTCTTTCTTTGAAGGTAACTCTCTACTTATTATTGAAATTTTTTTATTTGTGTTCTTTTATTTTTAAAAATTTGTTATTTTTTATATGTGATTACTAATGGGTGTTTTCAATGTTTATCACTGCATTACCTTGGCGATTGAATGTTTGCCATATTTGTGAGTTAAAGGCTTAAAATTTTTGTTTGATTTTGGGTGATGAGTTTACGAAGTTTAAGATTTGTAATTTGTATAGATATTTACTTACTTGGGCGTTATGGGAAATTTTTTTTTTTTGGGGTAGTGATTGAGGTGCTCTGTTTCTCCTTCATTGTAATGGGTCTTGTCATGTATATATGTTAAGTTCTAAGGTTACTGCATATGGTATTTAGTATTCCATAATTCTAGGGGCTGTTTGGAAATTAATTTTTTTAGTGGTTGTTTGGTTTTTACGAAAATACTGTAGAAAAGTAGAGAGAATGATGTGGCTAAAAACAAAGGTTACCAAACAAGGCCTTAATATAATGTTTTGTGGATAGATAGATTTGCTCACAAAACTGTGAGTTTGTTTTTTGTTTGTCTATTTGAGTTTGCGAACAATTAAAGTGACCTTGGTAATTTGGTGAGTAGAGTGATTAGTTATGAATCCGTGCCCTTTTGAGTGTTGTTCTCCTTTTTTTTTTTTTTTTTTTTTGTTTGTTTGTTTGTGTTTGTTTTCATAGGCAGATCTAAGAGAATGAATATTGATGATTGCATTAGCTTGACCATTTTTTGTTTCTTTTGTATTTTCAAATTTTTAGTTGGTTTGTTGGTCTATTTTAAGTTCAGAAAATTTCAGCCTGCGTTTGGTTGTATTTTGTAAATGTGATTTGAGAGTATGAGTTATATTTTGAGTTTGTGTGTTGTAGAATTATGATTTGAGTGTAGAAAATTTGTTTGGTAAAGAGTTTTGAAAATAGTTTTGGAAAAGAGGTTTGATTTGAGTAGGAAATTGTTGATGTGACATTTGATATGTGATACAAAAATTTACAACTCATAACTAAACATACAACTCAAAATTATTTTAAAGCATATAAAAAATTTAAAAATTTTTAGAAAATATTTTTCTCGATTATATAAATCAATTGCAAAAAAAAAAAAAATTTCACTGTTTCGGACAGTCGGCCGGTCAACCGGCCGGACGACCGGCCGGACGTCCCGTTCCCTCAAATGCCCCCTTTGCAACAAGCAGAATGTTTTGACATATAGACAGAGCTTCCGGCAGAGTTTTGGAAAATTAATTCCAAAACTCTTACCAAACATCATGCTCAAACTCAAGTGTTGAAAACTATTTTCAGAGCACAAACAAACAGAGCCTCAAAGTTTTGGTCGTAATGTGGTTGTCAGAATGGTTAAATAGCTAACAATATGATTTCTTTTTTTGAAGGTAACCTTCTACTTCCTATATATACACACACACTAATGGTTGGCACACGCGATGTGTGTGCAATTCAAATAAGTACAAATAAAACAAAACATTTGTTATATATTGTGTGACACTGAAGTGGTAATTGTCTTCTTTATTCAATTTAAGGTCTAAGGTTTGAGTCCCATGCCTCTTATCAATTTAATTTAATTTATTTTTCAGTGAACTACGCTAACGGTCCCTATAGTTTGAGACTTGTGTTATTATTGTGACACATTTGATCCTGAATTTTGAATCTTGTTTCAAATAAAGACAATTGAAATTACCATTTGATTTTTCAAGGGCAGAATCGTCAATTTGATAAAATATAGGGTTGTTTGGGGTGTCCTAAATAAGTGCACTTTTTGGACTAAAAAATTGAGGAAAAAAATAGGGATGTTTGGGTTAACTTTTTGACTTTTTTTGAAAAAATGTGTATTAAATTTTTTTATAAAGAAGTGTGTAGGAGAAGATGGGTGATGTGTGTTGTACAGCCGTACAATTTGCACAGCCGGATTGATGGTAAGAAATTATTGGCTACTTTTTGGGCATTGCACTGGACGGTTTTGTTCGGCCCGTGGGGGCCATCACAGGTCCTATTTTGATAATCTGAACCGTTCAATATGTAGAACTCGTCGAGTGTTATATGCGTATAGAAAATCACGTTGATCGGATATCAATAGCTATCTGATCAGATTTGTTTTTTTTCAATCGTTAATTATAACACCATCCATTTTTTTATACAAAACTGATTTGATCATGTAGTTATCGATATCCGATCAATGTGATTTTTTATAGACATATAGTACTCGACGAGTTCTACACATTGAACGGTTCAGATTATCAAAACGGGACCTGTGATGGGCCCCTACGGGTCGAACAGCAGTGTGTGAAAATTGCACCCAAACTGTGTAATTTTTCTTCACAAATGCTGCATAGCGCTGAACCGTTCAATGATTGCTGAGTTGTATGGATGTGTGGAAAATTAATTTTTTAATATTTTTTTTTGGCGAATAGTGAAAACTTTTTAACTTTTTGAGTAACTTTTTGACTGTCTTTTTGAGGAGATGCCAAACTTGGCCTAATTTGACAAAAATAAATGTCAAAAAAATATTTTGGAATTTTTAAAAATTCTTTCTACCCACTAAAGATAAAATTATGTAAAATTGATAAACCTTTTAGACATTTATTTATTTATTTATTTTACCAAATTAATTTTTATTATGTGTTTGGATGATAATCATGTAATGGGTGGTTGTTTTTGTTTTCATTAAATTAGTTTTCATTTTTTTCAAAAGTCAAATATGGCGACAACTTCGATATCATTATTAAACCATTCCATTAAATCAAAAAAAATCCAAAACTAAAAATATTTCATATATTAAATGTATCGATTACACATTAAAAGTTTAACAACTACCCATTACATAATCATCATCTAAACATATAATAAAAATTAATTTAGTAAAATAAATAAATAAATAAATGTCTAAAAGATTTATCAATTTTACATAATTTTGTCTTTGGAGTGTACAAATAATTTAAAAAATATTTTTTTGATATTTATTTTTTGTCAAATTAGTTTATATTTTATCAAATTGACGATTTTACCCTTGAAATTAAGCAATGGTATCTTCAATTGTCTTTATTTGGAACAAGATTCAAACTTCAGGTCAAATGTGTCGCAATTGAAAAGTCAGGGACTAAAGTGACACGAGCCCCAAACTATAGGGACTATCAGTGTAATTTGCCCTTTATTTTTTTTAAAAGAAAAATGGATACTTGACAGCATAAAAAGCCAAGGCTTCAGGACATCGTAAGGGTGTTCACTTTATATATAGTATAAATAGACAAGGCTTCAGGACACCTTAAGCAGTGCTCAATTTATATATACTACAAATAGATATATATATATACCATGTATGTACCAAAATGGTTATGGCTTTGAGCCTGAAGCTTCACTTGCTATTTTAAACACTTTACTCTTATTATATTAAGTGCTCCTTCCATCGTTTCATTCTTGAATTTTAAGTTTCCCTCGTTTTTGGAATAGATGCCACTTTAACATATTGTTTGCCAAACACTTTCTGTAGAAGATATCATATCACAAATGGATGGTTTTTTGTTATTGTATTTTCTTGCACAATGAAGAAAATGGTTCATGCTATTTTTATTTTTTCCCTGTCTTTAACTTTTTGCTTTCTCCTTAGTGCAAGATATATGGGTTGTCACAAAAACAGTGCCCGTACTTGGACATGAGAAGTAAAAAATTGCTTAATAGTGTAGATATATATACATACCTCTATGTTTCTGTGAGATTGTCAGACCGGTTTGTAAGTATATACCCCTATATCTTTCTCTATCTATACGTCTATATTTTTTGAGAAGAAAACAGAGAAAGCAGAGCCTTAACAAATCTGCACACTGTAATTGTAAGTGCTTTAAATTTGAATTCTTGGTTTTTGGGTCTTCAAAGTTGTATTTCAAATTTACGACTTTGAATGATATGGTTATGGCTATGTTCATTTTTTCTCTTTGTTTACTTTCTGAAAGCTTTATTGATGTTTACAATGCACTTCTGGTCAATTTTTATTTAAATTTAATATATAAATGTTTTTTCGGCTTTACTTATGATTTTATTGGACATAAATACAGGTGTTGTTTGTATGGAAACAGATTTTTACTTGAATTTTTTAGGTGACACCTGTGCATTCTGCTATTTATTCTGATGGATAAATTTCACTTTTGGCAAATTGTAACTGGTAAGCTGATGCATTTGTGTCATTATTTGGAAGAGAATTCACAAATAATGTTGTATAATTTTTTTGTTTGACTGCATTTAGAAGTGAGTTGCTTCCAATAATGTGTCTTTGTGTATGCTGTTGAACAGTATGATTATATTTCTCAGTTCGTTAAGCGCTGAAATATATTTTTTCAAGTTTGATTGTAAAATATCTTCTGGCAAATGAATATTTATCCTTGCTTTTAAGTAAAAAGTCATTGGATGTTGTAATGGATTTTTCTGTTTTCCTTCATTCCATAGATTAGATTTTGTTCGGTCAAAATGTAAATGTGAACTTCAATTTTTAACATAATAATATTCCGAATGAGTTGTTCTATTGAGTTGATTATTTGTGCTATCAATCTTAGAATTTGAAGATGCATATATATATAACAGATGAACTATAAATTGTTATATCAATAATGATAATGAAGTGTGCCCCTTACAATGAATGCTCAATCCAAATGTCAAGTGTAGCATTGCTCTTATACGACACAAGACTACTTAAAAAGCAATTGATGATTCTCTTACCCTCTTAAATTTTTAGACTGAATTGACCTTTATATATGTGCGTGGATAGATAAATGTCAGGTGCTCATATTACAGAGGACGATGCAAGATCAGAGCACCTTGTGACAAAATATTTGATTGCAAGCAATGCCATAATGAATCCAAAGGGCTTTTAAGTATTTTGTTTGGTTTTGTTTGTTTTTTTGTAGTTGATTAAAATAATATTACTCTGCTATTGCTAATTGACACCAGAGAGTTCAAACAGATTTTAAATTTATTTTTAGCACGGGAAAGGTTAAATATGAAAATATTCAGGTGACTAGCAAACAAGATATATATATGTATGAAGTCCACCATTTAGCAATGATGTTATTGGACGAGGGACCAAGTTTCGTTATTACTTGAACATAGTGTTAGACCATAACCTATTAACCATAACCTATCAGCGGGGTGGGTTTGTTGGTCTCGCTAACCCATCAAAAAGGTCGAGATTTGATGTGAAGGAATGTCATGCAATGTGTAAAAATTTATGTATTATTGATTGATATTTGATTGATAGATAACAAGATTGATTGATTACAATTCCTATACAATCTATATATAGAAGATTTTATGTATTATTGATTGATATTTGATTGATAGATAACAAGATTGATTGATTACAATTCCTATACAATCTATATATAGAAGAAAATGTGGTAGTAGGTGTAGTGGAGGTGATAGTGGGTTAGGTGAAGTGGAGTGTGTGGTGAAGTGGAGGTAGGTGAAGTGGAGTGTGTAGTGGAGTAGGTGAAGGTAAAGATGGGAAATTCTAACAGCCCCCCGCAAACTCAAGGAGGATAGGAACTAACCAACTTGAGTTTGAAGAGAGGAACAAAACAAGAAAATATATAAAAATAAACAAGAAAATACATAAAAATAAAAAAAAAAAGATATGAGACACTGTATGGTCGTGTCAGACCGTTGGTGAAGACTCTGAAAGGTGGTGCCATAACGTGGTAGAGGACACTGGATGGTGGTGTCATAACGTTGTAGAGGACACTGTATGGGGGTGTCATAACCATGTAGAAGACAGTTTATGGGGTCATGCCGGACCTTACAGTCTACTTTGCTGGCCTTGAATCTTCTTTCTTGAGTTTGACTGGCTTAGTAGCCACCTGGGCAACCTTTGACTCTGAAGGGAGGTTCAAGGTGTTGCACAAGCTCCTTGGGGGGCACTTGACTTGGGGGGAGTGCCCGCACCGTTAAGGGGGTTGGCGCGCCCGTTTGTCGGCTGGTGGTAAGAGGCGCGCGATGCGCGTGGCTGCCTCGGCTATAAGACGGAGGCTGAGGCTGAGGCAAGAAACCTGCGAGAGATATTCTGAGAGAGATTGCTGAGAGAGATTCTGTAACACTCTGTTTTCTGAGAGAGATTTCTGAGAGAGATACTGTGGAACACTCTGTGGCCCAAAAATGGCTTCATCTTCCCGGAGTCGGCTCACTCTCTTTCCCGACCTCAACGAGTCAACAAGAGAGAGAACTGGTGCGGTGGCACTGGAAACTCAACCAAGCGCCCCGGAGTTTGCTCCGTTGAACTTTCCGATGCGGTCTGTGGAGCAAAGAATGGCAGTGCAGTCAGATGTGGAGGCCAATCAGTATACTTTGAAGGCATGTGTGGAAAGCATGACGGCGGTCACAAATTTGTCGAACCGGCTGCAGAGTAGAACAAATGAGGTGCAGCATTTAAACTCTCAGCTGGCTCTGCTCCAACGCATGTATAAGGATGCGCGAGCAGAGATAAGCGTGCTAAAAGCAGAAAATAAGGAGTTGAAGCGAAAGACCACCGTGATGTTCCGATTTGGAGGGCCGCCATATACTGCAGTGGAGGAGGATGGGGGAGTGAACGTACTCGGTGGACTAGGAAGCACGGAGGCAACACCGTCAAGGACTGCCCAGGACGGAGGAAAAAAGAAGAGACCGGTGGCGGAGTAGGTCGGTGGGTGGTCGCCTGCAGGAAAGAAAACAAAGCTATGTGTTTGGGTTGTTGTTGTGATTTGGTTTGTTTTTTTTGTTTTTTTTTTGTTGTGTGTAAAATTGTGATCGGGGTTGATCCCTGAGATGAATAAAAGATGGTTTGGTGTTTGCTGTTTTTTTTTTTTTTTTTTGAATAATAATAATAAAAAGAATAAATTAATGGAGAAAGCATATAAAAGAGATAAAGAGGGGTTGAAATAAAAGAAAATAAAATAAAAGAAAATGATGATGAAATGTCAGGGAAGGAGAAGGCAGGTCGGGGATAGTGCTCTGCAAAAATTAGATATATATATAGATATAGATATATATATAGATATAGATATTTCGGTTTTTTTTGTTTGTGGGTTTTTTTGTTTTTTTGTTTTTTTGTTTTTTTGGTGTAATAATAATAATAATAATAATAATAAGAATAGATTAAGGAGGAAAGCATGGGCTCTCGTGGGTGCTGAGTAGAGAGAGGTGTGGGGTTAAAGTAATGGAATCAGAGAAATGATGAAAGTGGGTGGAATTAAAAAAGAAAAAAAATAAAAATAATGTTATCATAAAGTGCATGTGGGGAAGTTGTTGCTTTTGCTGTGTGGGGTTGGAATAAATTAAGAAAAAGGATGGAGATGATTAAAGGAAGCATGGGGGAGAGAAAAAGGGACCAGAGAGAGAGGGAGTGGGCATGTGTATCTGGTCGTTTCACTGTCAGTAGAAGATGTATCCACATGTTTTTAGTAATTCTTAATAACACTTGTACCCACAAATTCTGCAGCACTTCTGCAAGAAGACTGGTACATTTTTTTTTTCCTTGTACATTGCTAGAGGCCCCATCAAGAAGTACGTTAGCGCTGCTGAATCCTCCATCATGTATAGTCTTAACTACTGAACCACCTTCACAAGAGTGTCCACGCTGGAACCTCCTTCCTCGGCGAAGCCGGTGATGTGGTGTGACAAAGAATTGCTCGTCCAATCATCGACAGACTCGAGACAATCCCAACCACATAGAAAACCATCACCAATCCAAGAACCCAAGGCATCAACAGGAATCCAATGAAAAAAGTAACCGATCCACACAGCATCAGAGCCAACGAAATCCCCAACAACAACGATGCAAACCCCGCCGGCGATATCAGCGGCGTCTCCGGTCGTCGCCTAGACGAAGGCACCGCCGCCGGAGATGGATCGGAAAACTGAATCAGCGTAGGAGGAGAACGGAGGAGGTTGCTTTGGCGAGGTATGTGTAAGAAAAATCTTAGCGGACTAGGTTGAGGTCCGGCGGGCAGCTAAGGTGAGGTTGCCGCCCGCCGGGGAAGTGAAAATATCAGGTTCTAAACCTGCTCTGATACCATGCAAAATAAATTGATGTATATTATTGATTGATGTATTACAAGATTGATTAATTACAATTCCTATACAATCTATATATAGAAGAAAATGTGGTAGTAGGTGTAGTGGAGGTGATAGTGGGTTAGGTGAAGTGGAGTGTGTGGTGAAGTGGAGGTAGGTGAAGTGGAGTGTGTAGTGGAGTAGGTGAAGTGGAGGTGATAGTGGGTTAGGTGAAGTGGAGTGTGTGGTGAAGTGGAGGTAGGTGAAGTGGAGTGTGTAGTGGAGTAGGTGAAGGTAAAGATGGGAAATTCTAACATAACATGTGGTCAATCTTAATAATTTGAACAAAATTATTTTGTTCAAATATAAATAATCGAACATTGTATAAAAGTTTAATTGTGGTTATCCAAACACGATGAACAAACTTATCTTCTCAATATACGAACGAGATAAATAAAAAACTAAAAAACTAAGTTATAAACTAACTTTTTCAATAGTTGTATCGGAACTAACCATCTTAGTGTCATCTATGATGTTCAAATCTTCAAAAATAATTGATTTCAATATTCTTAAACTCTAAATCTTTAAAAGCAATAATGTTTTGAGTTTGAAAAATAAGTACAATAGAGAAAAGAATGAAGTGAGCTAATTGAATAATATCATGAGTGTATATTAATGGTGAAGATGATGAAGAAATACAATATTTATGTGTTAAAACCCTAAACCCTATAAGGATTGAGAGGGAGATTAATGATATGGACTTTGTGCCAGACAGATTTGGGCCGGGCAGAGTTGTGCCGGACAGATTTGGGCCGAACAGAGTTGTGCCGGACAGATTTGGGCCGGGCAGAGTTGTGCCGGACAGATTTGGGCCGGACAGATTTGGGCCAGGCAGAGTTGTGCCAGACAGATTTGGGCCGGGCAGAGTTGTGCCGGACAGATTTGGGCCGGGCAGAGTTGTGCCGGACAGATTTGGGCCGGGCAGAGTTGTGCCGGACAGATTTGGGCCGGGCAGAGTTGTGCCAGACAGATTTGGGCCGGGCAGAGTTGTGCCAGACAGATTTGGGCCGGGCAGAGTTGTGCCAGACAGATTTGGGCCGGGCAGAGTTGTGCCAGACAGATTTGGGCCGGGCAGAGTTGTGCCAGACAGATTTGGGCCGGGCAGAGTTGTGCCAGACAGATTTGGGCCGAACAGGTGTTGGGCCAAGTTGTGTGGCCCGGCCTTGAAGGAAGCTGCTCGGTTAAGGCAGCGCGTTGTTATTTTTATGAATAAATTTATAGTGATAAATTTATTAGTCTCTTGTTTTTATAGTGATAAATTTACCAGTTACGACCTGTAGGTAAGTCTAGTTCATAGGACTGATTGGTAAGTGCCTCAGCAGCAAACAATGTTTTTTTTGGAATATCATTAGGAGATAGTCAAGAAAATATTTCGGACAAGATTAGAGTAAGATGATTGTACAAGGAAAGCAGTGCTTGTTGTGCAGACACACACAAGACAGGACACATCAGCACCACGCCATTTTCCATTGTCATTTGTGACACATGGACCAATCACATATTTCTGTATACTTTCCTTCTAAGTTGAGTCATGGTTGAAGCTAATGTACACAGTTTTAAGTCTCAAGCCTAAGTGCTTAAGGAAATTCTCCAGGCATCTCCCACTCTGTAAAAGTACCTACCCAGCATTTCAGTTTTCCGTTTGCTTGTTCACCTTCTTCATCGATTGCAAACATTACTAACAAATCCTATTTCCTTTTCTTTCTTTGCAAAATAATGACCTATTTCAAGATTTATACATTTCTCAATCCTTCTTGTGCGGTGTTTGGCTTTTATGAAAGAAAAATACGAGAGAGAGAGCTCAATATCCCCAAACGTGATTACATTGGCTTTAATACCTTTGATACTTATAGAGGCGAGGCTTCTCATATCTTTTGTGATCATCGATAATTGGAAAAGATGGAAAGCAATTTATCCCTAAGACTCCAGCGTAGCTTCCGTTGCGTGGCATGTATACAGAGCCCCCTATGCCCCACTTCTTCCCCCAAGAATTTTTTATCACCAGGCGGTTTCTCCATTGTAAGTCCCCTTGCCTACAAAACAAATCACATGACATTCCACCAGTGGAAGGTTGACAAGATCTAATTCGTCACTCAGCTTCATCATATCAAG